CTCCTTCGCAGCTTAAAAATCTTCTTAGGGAACAATGTTATTGTTTTTTAACAGTTTCAATTCCAGGGTACCTTATTTGTTGCTTTTGCTATTTGACCTGGTCAACCAAAACTTTCTCTTCTTAACTTCCTCCTGCACATTCTTTTCCGGTCGAGTTCTTCTTTGTGGTGGCCATTTCTGACCACCACTGCAACCGCCTTCGGGAAAGGGAGTAATGGCCAGCTGAGGAGGAGAGATGCGGCTCTCGTCAACCCTGCTGGCAGTCTCCCCCCTCTTCACCACCTCTACGGGATGGCCTAGCCCCGAAACCAGCCGGCTCGGGGCGCTCCAGCAACTAGCACGGATTGAAGCCTCGCAGAGATGAGGTTTTGGTCTGTCGCTGAAGAAGCTCAAACCGGAAGTCCGGAATAAGTGGCTGTTTTTGTGGTGGTTACATCAGTTGAAATCTCAGACCATGGCTGTTTTGTTTTCTACAGATTGCATCAGTCAAAAATTATTTTTCATGCAGGAAAAACTGACCTTGGTTTGACAAGGTAAAAAGATAAAGATGCCCTTGAATCAAGCTTCACTTTTGGTGTGTACGCATACACACACACACACACACACACACACATACACACACTTCCCAATCCAAATAATAATCAAGCTTACACCTGCTTGGCTTCCCAGTTCAGACAAAGTCAGATGCTTGCAAAGAAATGGCATTTTTACTCCTGATTTATGTGTTGTTTCTTTTTTATCCACAGTTTTATCCCCTTTTTTATCCTCAGTTTTTCAAAGTTGCACTCTATTCACCGCCTTACTTCTTAGGCTACTACATGGTGCATCCTTTGGACTCCCCCTGTCACACACAGAATCTTCCTTCTGAAAGAAGAAGCTTTGCTTGCGTGTCCAAATGCTATGGAAAGAATGCCACTCAGACTCAGCTAGCAATAAGCATATCCTGACTGAATAAATCATTATCCCCAAGGATTTGTCTGCCTGAATAAGTAGAAGACTGAACTGCATTTTATGAACCACGTTTTTCCCTAAAATATACTAAAATGTATAATGTGAGCATTCAGCCACCACAATTATATTTGATGTTCATTATATATTAATTATATTCTTGTCAAATAGCATGAATTCTGTCCTTTTATTGTGTGTTACTAAAAGCCAGTTTGGAATGGTTATGGCATCAGATTAGAAACCAGGAGACCATGAATTCTAGTCCTGCTTTAGGTTTAAAGTCAGCTGGGTCACCTTGGGCCAGTCTGTCATGCCCTTGTGGAGTCTGATTCTGAAGGGGAGATTGAGGAGCTGACAGGGAGTGGGAGTGTGGCTCCGGTGGCTGTGGAAGAAACAGGGGAAGGGCACAGTCCGGCTGGGCATTCAGAGGAAGTCCCAGGCCCACCCCCTTTTCATCCTAGGGCACGCAAGGAGAAATGGAGAAGGGAGCAATGTGGCTTACAGGAGAGGAAAGGGCCCTGGTCCCTTTCATTAGTTGCAGCTGGGAGAACAGGATATAAGAAGGACGTTTTCACACAGCACCTAGCTGGTAGCAAAGCGTACATTATCTTTGTCGAGGCTTATCTGGGTTTTGGCATCCTCCCAACTGTGTGTGCTTCGTTATCTTTGGAAGTCTGCAATTTATTATCTTGGCCAGTCATGTTAATTACTTCAGCATGGTTTGTGTTGGTTTTTTTTATTTCTAATTTATCTGTACTTTGGGTTCGGACTGCATTTCTTTCTTTTGTAAACTATTGAAAGAGTTTGATCTCCAGCTGAGGATAACTGGATATTGGGGGCCAAGTTGGAGGGACTTTACCTATTTTTGTGATTTTGTTGCTTTTGTGCCACACCCCGGGTCATTACACAGTCACTTTCTCTAAACCCTAAGTAAGAGGCAGTGACAAAACCTTGCCAAGAAAACTCAGGGACTTGTCCAGAATTGTACCTGACTGAATGGAAGAAGAAGAAGAATATTACAGTACAAGGTTCCTTTTTCGTAAATAGTGACACTTGTTTTATATAGCTAAGTGCCCAAATGAAATAGATTTGATGATGTGGAGGTGTAAGTGAGTTCTCAGCAATTTGCAGAATTGTTGTTAGGGGCACACTGTGCAGTCATAAAACAGACCAACAAAAGATAAATGGTTCTGAAATAAAGACTTCTTTTGCACAGAAATTAGACATACGATTAGTGCAATAGTACATTATATGCCTAGTAAAAACTGGGGACGACGAACTTAGTATTCCATTAAACAATGCATGTACATTCCAGGTGCCGATATTCAAGAAGGCAACAAGGCCCTTCAAAATCCAAAAAGTATTTCAGACGTGTATTATCAGTAGTAGGTTTTCGGGAGCTAGTAATGGAGTATGCCGAATGTTTTGCAATGCAGAGATTCCTGGAATCATGAAACCATTTTGAGCATCAACTCTAAACTCCTCCTCCCTGCAGGAATACCCATGAAAGCCTCCTCTGTCTCTGCCTGGTGCCATCCATCCCAGCAGCCCCCTGGCAATTAGTCCCCTTGCCAAACTGTTCTCACATTTAACCAGAAATTGCCTTCCCATAACTACATCCATTATTCTTTCCCCCTTACTCAGGAATAAGAGAGAAGAGGGCTTGGGGTTTTTTTTTTTGTGTGTGTGTGTGTGTGTGTGAGAGAGAGAGAGAGAGAGAGCTATCTTTGAAGTATGCCCTGAACTCAAGAGGGGGCCGATTCCAACCACTTTTCCTCCTGGGACTTCACTTTTTGACCTTCTGATCATCTTCCCTGGCCTTATGGGAGGAAAGCAGTGATGTAAGAAGGTGGCACAGGATTATGCCAGGTTCATACTTTGAGGCACCCCAAACTAAGCACAATTCTGGTTTTAAAAGGAAGAGGCTTTCGTGGATACTTTTAAAATCAATTTTCAAAAGGTTGTAATTGTAAACATGCAAATGACAAAGCAGGGCAATCTGGTGAATGTTAATCAGTTGTTTTATTTACATTGCTCAAATGAGATTTCATTGTAATTATGCTTTAGAGATTAGAGTATTTATTTTATAATTCCCAACTCTTGTTTCCTTTTTCCACCTGTTTACGTCTTTGTTAATAATTTTCATTTTTAAAAAATTGTTAAGTCCTTTTTTTGTTCACTCCTCCATTAGGCATTTAGAAAATCCTAATAAATTATATTCCTTGGCAGTGTGCCAGTATCCTGATATGTATAACCAGATTTCAGTAGGCCCATTTATCAATGTTTTCCTGAATTAATAGTTGAAATAGGAGATGCCGTTACAATGCCTCCTCATGTTACCAGAGTTTCATAAATGATTCCATCAAGCGGGTTAATATCATATTGCTTGGAAAGCTGAGAGTTGCAAAAATAAACTGCTGACTTGTTTAGTGTGTTCTAAATTCTAATCAACAGTTTGAAATAAATACGTTTTGAAAGAATAATCTGTGGAACTAATGAAAGTGAAAAAGATTTTTCAAAAGGCTAAAGAATATGCAAAGTAAACTAAATGCTAAGCAAAAAAAACTAGTAAAAGCTTTCGCCTTTTTACCATAAGAAAGCTCTTTCCAATTCTGGACAAAGTACCATTTGTAAATTAATATTTACTCAGTGTCTGTTGATTAAGTTGATAGTAGTTTAGGCACTTGAAACGGACAAACAGAGTTGTGAATCAGTGGTGGGATTCAAATTGCTTTTCCACTGGTTCGGTGGGCGTGGCTTGGTGGGCATGCTTTGCCTAACACGGGTGCGCTGCTTTCTCCACACCAGCTGAGACTCTGCAGCGCCAATCAGCTGAGAGGATAAGGAGGAGGAAAGCACAGGGCCGGCTGGGAGGGCCGATCCTGTGCTTTTCTCTCCTTTCTCCTCTCAGTGGGCTTTTTTTACTACCGGTTCAGCCCAACCGGTCTGAACCAGTAGCATACCCCCCACTGGTGTGAATCAACTGTTCCAAGTTAACAGTTTTAGAAATTAATGAGCACTGGAGGCCTTTGGGTCATTTTGTGTAGCTTTTTGTTATTCAGATGAAAGCAGAAAAATGCTCCCCAGAGGCCACCTTGTACCCTACGACAACATAACAAAGGGCTCAAAGGAAGTGGAAGCTGCTAAACAAATGGCCTGACTTCCTCCCAACAGAGAGGATTGACTTGCCGCTGCTTCTTGCTGCTGGTTTTTTTGGCTTTTGCCAAAACCATCCAAGCCCAAGTTCTGCTGAGCTCCCCGGAGAGCAGAAGGTAGGAGGCGTGAGGAGGAGGGAGCGGGCAAGCCAGCCAGAACAGGGAGAAAACCTGCCCAGGTATTTTTAAGAGTGCTACTAGATCCACCAGCGGGCGAGAAGGGCGTCTCGTCTCATCTTCACAGAGAAGGTGCATCTTCAGCTCGTTCTTTTGCCTCTTTTATTCTCAACATACATAAAACAACTATTTCAATTTGCCTTATTTAGACGCAGGGGCTGCTCTTCCTATAGATAAATGCGGAACTTTAAAGATTGACCCTTCAGGTGGCAGCATTTTTGGAAATCACGGCAACTGCCTCCGTCCTGCAGGATCCGGAGCTGGCAGGCGCTAACTGAATTCTCAAAAACTCCAGACGTTTGAACACGCTTCTAGCACTGAACAGCAGATCTTTCCTACAGGTGTGGAAGAGTCCTTGAAAGAGCAATGTTTCTTTCTCTCTGGGGCAGTGCGGGATTTCTGCACTAGTCAGATATAGTCTAGATGACCTCCAAAGGGCTTTATAGTCTGCAATTCTATGAATAAAACCTTTGTATGCATTGAGGCACAGTTGTACAGAAGACATGTTGCATTAAGAAAGCCTATGTGTAGCCCTGTAAAGAATTTTGAAAGTAAAAACCAGGCAGTGATTTACCTGGCTTCTAGGAGAAGCCGAGCCGAGTGCTCCAAGCCTCCCCGTGTTCCCCCCCCCCCCCCCGTGTTTGTAACGCCGAGTCTGGTTCTGTTTCAGAGCTGTGGGACAAGAACCGGACATCGGTTTTTCATAGTCCATCTGGATCGCTTGGCCTTCGTGTGATGCTTGTGGACGAGTATCAAGACCGGCTGTTTCTTGGAGGAAAAAACCTGATCTATTCTCTCAGCTTAGACCGAGTCAGTGAAAATTACAGAGAGGTACAGTACAATTTCCATATCCTACATTAATGGAGGAACTGTGTTTGTGAAGCATAAGAAAAGTTTGTTTGTGTGTGTGTGTGTGTATTGGATGTCCAAGTGTTCAGATGTGGCCTATAAGGAGCTTTGACTGAGCAGAATATCATTCCAAAATACTCATTTCCCTGGCAGATGACCGTTCTAACTTTTCCACTGAATTACCGTAATTGAAAGAGGGGTGGCTGTTTATTTTCTTTTTGTGTTTGACATTCTCTTGATTGCTTGGCCTCCTCCGTGGGCCCATTGTTGTTAGATGCCCTGCGAGACAGGATTACCGCTATTCATCAGAGAACGTTTGGTTCAAAGGATACTACATTGTGTTTGGAAGGGTCTATCTGTCCCAAGATTTTTTTATTTATTTATTTGATTTGTCAATCACTTACAAGATACAGGTATAAGAATAAACACAGTTTTGAATACATGAGATGGATACTTATATAAGAAAAATAAAAAGAAACAATAGGACAGGGACGGTAGGCACATTGGTGCACTTATGCACGCCTCCTACAAGCCTCTTAGGAAGGGGGTGAAGTCAATAGTAGACAGTCTAAGGTTAAAGTTTTTGGGATTTGGGGAAAAAACCACAGAGTCAGGTAGAGGATTCCAGACATTGACCACTCTGTTGCTGAAGTCGTATTTTCTGCAGTCAAGTTTGGTTCGGTTAACCTTGAATTTGTATCTATTGTGTGCTCTTGTATTGTTATGATTGAAGCTGAAGTATTCGTTTGCAGGTAGGACATTGTAATGTATGATTTTATATACTATATTTAGATCGGACCGAAGGCGGCTCAGTTCTAGGTTTTCTAGGTCTAGAGTTTCAAGTCTGGTGGCATAAGGTATTCTGCAACGAGTCGAGGAGTGGAGAACTCTTCTTGTGAAATATTTCTGGACTTTTTCAACTGTGTTAATATCAGATACGTAATGTGGGTTCCAGACTGATGAGCTGTATTTAAGTATTGGTCTAGCAAATGTTTTGTATGGTCTAGTTAGTAGTGCAATATTACCAGAGAAAAAGCTACGTAAGATTAGGTTAACGACTCTTAACGACTTTTTGGCTATGTGGTTACAGTGGGCTCTAGCACTTAGGTCATTTGAGATGAGTATTCCAAGATCCTTGACAGAGTTTGGATCATCAACAAGGTCTTGACTATTCAGGCTGTATTTTATTTTACGATTGTTTTTTGCCAAAATATGTAGGACAGAGTATTTGTTTGTTGAGATTTGATGTTGCCATTTGTTTTACAATTCTGATATATAGTCAAGATGTTTTTGAAGGGTAGCAGTATTGTCGGTGGTGTTGAATAGCTTTAAATCATCAGCAAAGAGAACGCAGTTGCTCTTGATATGATCACAGAGGTCATTTATGTAGAGTATTAAAAGAGTTGGTCCTAGAACACTGCCTTGGGGGACCCCCACTGTTGACAGGTACAGGATTTGATAGGATGCTCCCAGTTTTGACCATTTGTTGTCTGTTTGACAGGAATGCAACTATCCAGTTATGCAGGTGTCCAGAGATACCGTAAGATTTTAATTTTAGGAGTAGTATGTCATGTACCACTGATTGTACTTCACCCCATGGGTTAGCCAATTAATTATTACTATACTGTGCAGGTTTATTCATTTGCATTGTGAATTGCTTAAAATCCCAGTCTTTTCCTTTTGCTTTTTAAAAGTATGAAAACCTTTGAAGAAATATCTTTAATGGCTTTGCAGGAGATGGAGTTTCAAGTTCAACGGGCAGCTGCAGCTGTAAACCCTCGAATGAATGATATATAAAGTCAATGTGTATATGGAGTTGGTGGTCCCACTCAGCCGGACACCAGTATAACATTTAAGGAGGGAAGAGTACAAAATCCCCCCAAATCTCAGCCACTCCCTTGCAACCGAAAACAGGGACTTCCCAAATGGCCCCCCACCCCTTTGATCTCCTTTGTGCCCAGAGAATAGCAGCCGTTGCAAGTGGTTTTCGCTGAGTGAATTGGAGTGAACTAAATAAGCAGGGAGTGCATTAAATATTGTGGGATTAATCATGCTTGGTCTAGTTAATTGAATTAATCATGGTTAGCTGATGGGAATGAGATGGGACAAAGCAGACAGAGGGGGAATTAAATGCATCAGAAATAATCATACTAAACCTATTTCATTAATGGAATGAGAGCAGGAGGGAGGAAGCAAACAGGAAGGGAAAATGGGTGCATAAGGACATATCTCATAAGGTTCCATTTGTTTAATTTGTTTGCGCTAGAACCTGCAGGCCTCGCCCCCTTCTCTGCTCTAATCTTGCCTCCTTTGGGTCGCTTGGGAATTGCCTGCTTCACTGTCACCAACCGCTGTTCTGTGCGGCCTCATGTTTCTCTACTGAATCATTTTTATTTGTTTGTATCCCACCTTTATGATTTCATAAAGAGTAAAGAATACTCAAGACAGTGTGAACATCTCCTAGACGCCTTCCTCCTCCTATTTCCCCCCCTCCCCAACCGCCCTGTGAGGTGGGAGAGAAGGACTGGCCCAGAGAGACCCAGCTGGCTTTGGGGGATAAGGCGGGACTAGAATTCACCCTCTCCTGCTGATTGGCCCAAATCCCTAGCTGGTTTTTGTTTTGTTTTTCCCTTCCGAAGATGGGACTTGAACTCACTGCCTCCTGCTTTCTAGCCTGGCGCCTTCGCCACTGGACCAAACTGGCTGTCTTCATGAAAGTGAAGAGTGGGACATCATTCGGTGCCGTATCCTCAGCTGACGGCCTGCCAGCCTCCAGTAGAGGATCTTCCTCCCCCCCAAGATCCCCGATTCCACTGCTGAACTGCTCTGGCCACTAGACAAGGCTTCCTGGGAACTGACTGACTCAAAAGCCACCGTCTCTCGTCCTTTTTCCGGAGCCATTCAGTGCCGTCCCACCTTCTACCTGACAGCTACTTTCCGTCCCCGCAGCCTCCTCTCCTGCAAGCCAAGGAGCCTCTGTCCTCCTGGGCCAACCGTCCTGGGTTCAGGAGGTCACTTCTAAGGGCTTCAAAGGGGCCTCCTTTATCTCGGGATTCCACAGGAATGGGGGAGTTAGAGGGAAATGAACCATCCCAGGCTCCACGCAGACCAATCCAAGATCCAGGAACCGGAGGGGAGCCTTGCACCAGTCTAACAGCCTGTCAGGGAATAAGAAGGAAGTCAGGCCCAGGGTTGGACCGGGATTTGCCCCCTCCTCCCAAGCCCTTGGTTTGTCACCCTGGCCCCACAGGCCGGTTTCTCCTGAGGAGCCTCCTTCGTCCTATCTTTCCCTTCATGCAGAGGCTGTGGCTGGATTTGTTCCTCAGGCTTTCAGCCACGTTCTGCCACGGGGGACTGACTGCCTAGATCCTTCTCCTCCTGTGTCCTTTCCGAACTCCCCTTGCCGATACCTGAGAGCCCCCTGGCTATGGAGGTGGCTGAGAATGGTCAGAACCCTGCCAAGTCCCGTGCCATGTCTCCTGGCAATCCCCAGCGCCAACTGAGGGCCCCAAGAAAGAGGCCTTTGAATGTTTCTCACATGTTTTGCCTCCATGACCACCCTCTCTCTGGACAAGCCCCATTGTCCTCATGCCCTTGTTGCAATGCAGCCCTCAGAATCCAACGCCATGTGCTAGTCCCGAGGAGTGGAGGAGAGGCAGGGAGGGTGGCTTCCCTTGATTCTGACTGCCCAGCTCTCTTGACCCAGCCTAGGACTGCACCCTCCCAGGGGTTTCAACGTTGGTCTTCCTGTTGTATCTCACTCAGGTTGTGATGTGAAAGGAACCTTCGGTTTGGCTTCTCCCTCCATCCAGTTCCACACCTGATCTAGCAGACCAGCCAGCTCCTGTTGCTTCAACATAGATATCAAAGCATAAATTATTTGTCTGTCTTTGTTCACTTTAAAATACAAACCATGGTGGATGCTACTGATGGGATTTAGAAAGTACTTCAGACTATGATTCTGTAAACTGTTAAGACTGACAACTAGCCAAAAGGTTTTTATCCTGGCAAGCACTCCCTACAAAGCCATGGAGGTGGTCATTCTGAGTCATTTTCAGAGTTTGTATATCTTGAAGGAGAAATCATGGTGGGGGGAGGCATTTATAATCAATTAGTTTCTGGCTTTATGTGTACTACGAACTCATCTAGCATTCTCTATGTGGAAAATATTTAGCAAATAAGCACTAGCAATCAAGAAAAAGCACTGCATTATGAAAGAACTGTAAATTTATTTTTGGGTTGTCTGTATATTTGTGCAGAAGAAAGTTAGCCAAGTAGCTTTCTTCAAGTAGAAGATGGATGTATCCTTGATAAAATCCATTTGTTGGCTCAATAACTTGCTTGTGAGAAACTCTGAGTTTGCGAGATATTTAACATCATACTCTGGCAAAGAGAAAGTGAAGATTGGTGAATCTAGAATCTGTGTCAGGCAGGACCATGAAATAGGTCAGTTTGATTCACACCAGTAAAATAAACGTGTGTATGTAGATAGGGTTACTTATATTTATATTTTTGAAACGTTTGAATATCACGAAAGCAATACATACCCAAATACATATACTTCAGGTGCCTACCATAACATGCAAAATTCCGTAATACAAAATATTTTTTGCCCATTACATGCCAAACCTCTGGAGGTGGGAATCTGGAGAAGATACTTCCAGATGTTCTCCATAAAGCACCACTTATATACACACACATACATACATATGTACATATACTATATATATATCTCTCTCCAAGAAGAGCTGAGAAAAGTGATTTTGTCACAACTGAAACTGATTAATCTAGCCTTGTGAACCTGGATCAAGATTTTCAGATTTTTAGGAGATTTATATGGAACACATAATTTGGCATTATTTTTCCTGTTAATATCTTTCATTTAATTTTCTGTCTGTTAGTTCGGATTCTTCTTTGCTCAGTTTATTAGCAGATCCTACAAGATACATTGGCTCCTGCTGCACTTGCAGTTCATCACTTTATGAAGGAGAGGCTACCATGTTCCTCACCTGCTTGCTGTATGCTCATTGGTTTAGTATCCAGGTCTAGAAATAGATCAACACCCAAATATAAATTAATATTTATTTCTCTTAAGTTGTCCATGTAAGTCACCACGAGTGAGTTGAGAGACCATATACGTTTCATAGTCTTGGGCGGGGGGGAGCAAGAATCGATTGGATGGGTGGATAATAGGATAGATAAAATTTTGCTCCTACTACATACATATTTTTGTCATTCCGTACTTGAGTCAGATACTGGTTTCCATTGTTAGCTTTTGATAATCAAAGGAAACATCACTCAGCAATTTACTAAGGGATTGCACTGGCCAGCGACTGGGCTTGTGTAACAAAGCAGAATTGTGCTGCTTAGTTGTGGCAACATAGAGATTGTGGAGAAACAGGAAGCAGGACGGTTCTACCTGTAAGGGCTCTTAGCTTGAGCGATGGAACGAAAGAGAGGTGGCTTAAAAGGAGGAGGAAGCCCCTGTTTCCAGGGCAGCGTAATCAAGCATTCCGGTGGGCATTATTAATGGATTTATGGGCAGGCTTTGCGTTTAGAGGCATTGATGACAAACGAGAGGTTTGCTCTTTCATTGCGCAAAGTGCTTCATACAGGGAAGGATGGTTTATTAATTTAATTTATAATTTATTAATCCATCCAATGTTAGATGGATCTTTGGAGCAGGGTGTTTTTTTAATCTTGGCAACTTTAAAGATCTGCAGACTTTAACTCCAGACTTCCCCAGTAACACCAGTAGCACTAAATAACCCTTTGAATTATGGGAAACCTTTTGAAAAGCAAGCATTGCATTAACATTTAATGAGAAAACTACATTGTTGTAGCAGCTTCTAACTGGAGCCCTGTTTTCTTGCAGATCCACTGGCCCAGCAGCTCCCAGCAGGTGGAAGAGTGCACCATCAAAGGAAGGTCTATGGTTTGTGTTAACTCTGAAATGCTTTCCTTGGTCTTTGCCTGCTAATTAGAGTTCGGGAGGGTCTTGTTTTGACCTGGTTTGAGCCACAACATGCCATTCTGAGACTGGAAAGCGGCTTCTCTCTGACATGGGGCAGAAGCGCCAGTCCAGGAGTGGGACTCTCCTCTTAGCTGGAGGTTTGGGTGGTTTTACTGTAAGAGCAACGTAGGGAAATGGCAGAGGCTGTCCCTAGAAAGTCAAATGAATGAGGTCGTTGTGAATATCCATTCGTGTCCTGCACTCCTCTGCTCACCTCTCTCTGTGCCCAGAGCATCCGATAGAGATGCTCTCCCTCCTCTGCTTCCTTGGGGACATTTTCCGCCTGTGCGCATCGTCTGTGCACTGAGAGGTCACGAATGGACAGTGATCACCCAGTGACCTCCCACGGCTGAGGGTGGATTTCCATCAGGGATCCCCCTTCAGTACCTCGATTGCTTTGTTAGTGTATTTTTCCCTCCTCCCAATCTCCCTAAGCAGAGTGAGGCCAGATTAACACGAGAGAGGTTAAAAACAGGCAGAGCAGTCTTGGAATCGGGTCCGCTTCTTGAATAGCCAGCTCCAGATTACTCAAGAGCCCCGAGACCCGATTCCCGAATGGATGGTGTCCCTTGGCCAGCAGTCGCCGTCCCCCTGTCTGCTTGGCCCAAACTAAAAACTGGAAGAGACTTGCTTCAAAAGTTGCCAGCCTACTTTTACCTCTGTATTTTTACTTCCCTCTATAGGAGGAATGTGCAAATCACATCTGTGCTTTACACCGATACAACCGAACACACCTGCTGGCCTGCGGGACAGGAGCCTTTGATCCCCTCTGCGTCTTTGTCAGAGCCGGCCACCATTCAGAGGTAAAGGCACAATACGCCCCAGAAAGCAGGTCTCTCTCTCACACACGCACGCCCTGCTCACGTTGTGCAGAGCCTGGAATGGGGACTGTCACGTGTGCAGGATCCGTTTCCCTGCAGGATGGGAAATGCGCGAGGGATTCCCACTCAGCAGGCGGCCTCAAAAAGGCAGACCGATCACTCTGGGCCTAGTGTTTACGCCTGAGAAACGAGTCCCACAAGGAGTTGCAGGAAAGGTTTGGCTAGTTAACGGGGGGGGGGGGGAGAGGTGAGGGCCGGGGGCTCGATCTCAGAAAAGTTCAAGAAAACCAAGGGCGAAATATCATCTCATTCAGTCGGTGGGTACATTTGATTCGTCTTCACAAGCTGTAAATTTGAAAAGGCCATTTCATGCAACTGTCGTATTGCTGAATGTTTTCTATTCTGAGCCAGTTTTCACTGGGGTGACGCTTGTTTTGCCATCTCGCTTCACCGGTTTTGCTATCCATTCTGTAGAATGGTAGAAAAAGTTTATTTATGGTTGCATTTTTTTTTCCTTGCAAGGAGGAAGAGTAATCAGTCAGATACACTGTTTAAAAATGTCCTAATTCTTAATTAAAGAAAATAATAATGTGAATGCTGGTTTACTTACTGTAGGGTTCGATAGTCATCTGATCATTATTACTGCTTAGCAGTGGTTCCCAAACTTTTTCAGTCCACCGCCCCCTTGGTGCTACAAGCTCATCCTCGGTGCCCCCCATTTTGGGGTGGGATTCAAATTTCTGTGGGCGTGGCCTAATTTGAGTGTGTGACTTGCTGGTCATGTGACTGAATGGGCATGGCTTGCTGGTCATGTGACTGGGTGGGTGTGATTTGCTGGTCACGTGACTGGGTGGTGTGGCTTGCTAGCTGGGCATGCTTGCTGGTCACGTGACCGGGTAGGTGTGGTTTGGTGGTCATGTGACTGGGTGGGCATGGCCACTTAAGTGGTCTTCACTTAATGGCCGGTTGTTTAGCAAGTGTTCTAATTTATGACTGGCCTCCCCAGAGATACTTGACCTGTTTTTGGAGTTTTGACAGCCATGCACACACATACACACACACACTCCCTTCTAACCCTGCTGGAGCAGGTGATTGGACTAGAATCAGCAAAGCATCTCTGATTAGATTCTAGTAGTGAATAAAATCTAATCAGAGATGCTTTGCCGATTCTTGTTGATTTGTTTTATTTGTATCTATTTTATGTTGCTGAATTGCATTGACATGTGTGTCCCTTGTGCACAACCCAGAACCTTTTGTGATTCTTCGCAGCAAAAATCACTGACCTGTGGCTTTGCTCTACTTTTCAAACATGCTGCCACTGCCCCCGCCCCCGCAGATCCACCCCATTGAGCCCACTGCACTGGAGGGACCTGCCCAAGCAAGTCAAGTCAATGGGGTGAGCCTGAGAGAGGGAAAGAGAGAGGCGGGGAAGAAAAGAGAGAAAAGGAAAAAAAAGAAAAAGGGACAAAGAAAGAGGGGGAGATGGAAGGAAGGGACAGAAAGAAAAAGAAATAAAGAAGGATGGAGGGAGGGAGGAGAAAGATAATGAGATACCTATTCTAGTCCAATCACCTTCTCCAGCAGGGTTAGAAGGCAGTATGTGTGTATGTGTGTGTGTGTGTTCTCCTTGTAATTTACTGGTACATTTTGGTTTTGCCTTCTTCAGAATTGGCACTGTAATACATTGGGGAAAAGTAATTTTTAGGGTGGAGATCTGGTCCAATGGAACCTATTTAAAGCCTCAACAAAATGTGAGAGCTTCCTGATAGTCTTGACCATGTTTCGTCCACAAAACCTTTAATAGAAGCAAAGATGTTTCAATGTGGAAAAGGGCCTCAGTCTAAACTAGGCCTCATTTCAATCTGATGCATCAGGTCTCTCTCTCTCTCTCTCTCTCTCTCTCTCTCTCCCTCCCTCCCTCCCTCCCTCCCTCCCTCTCTCCCTCTCCCTCTCCCTCTGAGACTGGCTTTGCTCTACTTTCCCGATGTGCCTGCGGGGCTGGTGCTTCAAACATGGATGGATGGATGGATAGAGAGAGAGACAGGTAGGTAGGTAGGTAGGTAGGCAGGCAGATATTTTGGATGAATAGTAGGTAGGTAGATAGATAGATAGATAGATAGATAGATAGATAGATAGATAGATAGATAGATAGATAGATAGATATGGATAGAATTAGAATTAGTTGGCACCTATATCAAATTGTAGGAGAGAGACATAGGATTAAACTCCAACTAATTTTCCCTAGTCACAGCTGCCAATGCAAAAAGAGAAGAGAATTCATGAATTATTTCTCTGGGAAATATTTTGAACAGGATCTTTTCCTTCTTAAGATTTTGAAAAACTCCTAGTTGCTTGGAGTGCAATCCATGAGTGATATTTAAATTGATGTAGAAATTCTTCATACTGATCACATCTTTTTGTCAGCAGTTATTCCGTGATTTGAAAGCCTGGTCTGAATTGGTGACATAATTGTAAGAATGCCATTTGTGTTTTTGCCTGCACACTTAATCTGAATACATTTTATTCCTAGGTTGTGTATGTATGGATACTCTAGGTAAATCGTGAGGATACCTTGCCCTGCCACTTCAAGGCTGTCATTGGCTCTTAGTTGTAGGTTGTCAGCAGTGATAAGGTTTGTGTAGGTAAAACCCTGCAAGCAGATTTACCCAGGCAGGACAAAATTAAGCAAACTGTTCCATATGTTTGCATTGCACTCATTCCTCAGGCAATCCAAGGTAAACATTACAGATCCAAATCTTTGGGGTCAAAACTGTGTGCCTGGGTATTGAAAGATAAGGTAAAGCCTTCTTGGAGTCAACTTGTGTGGACCGCTAGGCAGTTTCCTTAGCCGTGATGCAGAATCTGTCCGCCACGTTTCTTCCTCCTTCCATTAGTCTGTTCATTGAGATGCCAGGCCTGACCTTCCCCATTCCAAAGGCCCCGGAAGGTCTGCTGGGGGCTGCCCTCCAGAGGCTTGCCAGATCAGAGGAGTATGACAACACAGAGAAATATGATCCAAGATACCTTTTGCTATTCTTCAGAATACATTTTGCTTCTGTAGCATTCCTGATTGCCAACTGGGACTTCCAGGTGTATCCAGCACAGTTATCTTTGGAGTAAAACTCCCTGGGGACAGAGGCTTGCTTGCTTGCTTAATAGCGCTGGATGCTAGCAAGCCTCTCTGTGACGCTGTCCCAACTTCAGCAGCTTTGGGGCTGCCTCTCCGCCGCCGGCAAAAGGGACTTCTCCTGGATCAACCAGGGACTTTGCGATGTCCCTGGGATCCACAGGATGTGCCTCTCACTATCACCGTCCCTACAGGATGGTTTAGGTCCGTTTGGACCGGCCGGGGCGAAGATATCGGCTGCAATCTTGGAGCTCGATTGCAGATCGTACCGTTGTGACGCCAGCTCCTCCCCTCTGGCCCAGATAATAACTCTTGTTACGTAGTCAAATTAAGGGCCATGGGGGAATCCGTTGGAGTGGGAAGAACTGAGGTGGCCGCTGATCCCAGCCAAACGGAGGGAGGGGCTTCTGGTGGGCCAGCTTGGCTTCCAAGGCAGGCAGCAGGGGAGATGAAGGGGGGAGGCCGGACATTTCGTACTGCAGGTCTGCCTTGTCTGTGTGACCCGATGCACTTGGGGTGCCAAATAGGTCCCCCACCCACGCCTGGATATTTATCCAGATCTTCCCTTGTTGTTATGCTGAGGCTTTAGCCTCCGGTAAGGTTCCTCGGGAGGAAACGGACAAAAAATAGGCTCCCACCTTCCGGTGTTTATGTCCAGATGATGCAAGGCCTTCGCCCAATTTCCCCAGCGGGAGATCCTCGGGCTTCAGGGGGAACGCAGGCAGGGCTTCTTCCCCTCCGGCAGCCCTTCCCTGCTGCCCTCTTGCCCCTGGGCTCAGTCGAGGCCGGGCCCAAGGCCAGCCAGATCATTTGCAGGGGTGGGAATGAAACCCAGAGACCCTCCTCCATGGAAGTGAGCAGCCAGCAGGGGCTCCTCCTCCCCGGTATCCCAAGGCACCACCTGGGACTGTAGGAAGGGAGGGTGGGCCGGAGAGAAGGCAGCTGACCTTCTGACCAAACCCTTTCAGAGACTGTGGGAGGTGCTCCTCACCTGCCTTAACGCTTCTGCTAAGGAAGAAGTGGGGCCAGTCCCTAAACCCCCTGCCCCCCCAGGCGAGGAGCAGAGAGTCCACGTCCTCGGGGGGGGGAAGGGCAGACCGATCCTTCGGCTGAGGGGCCTTCAGAGACCCCATCAGGGGCGTCTTTTCAAGCCTTTCCGCGGGATGCTGGCTGCAGGGGCAGCTCATTTCCCCAGCTTTCTCAAGGAACTGTGAAGTAAACTGATAACAGCTGTTGGAGGATCCAACTGTGTATTATGGGATGCCAGCATTACGTGTGTGTGTGTGTGTGTGTGTGTGTGTGTGTGTGTGTGTGTGTGTAGAAAGGGAAATAAAACTGACAAGGTGAAAACCTCCACATTAATTGTCCCTCTGAGCTGTGTTGTTCCTCCCTCGATCCATCTGACAAAGGAAGGAAATGCAGATAAAGGAATGTGGCTGTATTGATGATATTGGGTGAGTTGCACCCGTCAGCGGGAGGGATTGAGGGATGGGTTTCCCCCTCCTGGCAGGTGGCAGAGCGGTTGCATAAATCCATCCGCCAAGAGGAAAGGAAGGAGGGAGCCGGCCGTGGGACACCTAAATTCCAAGAACAGGCCTTAAAATCCAGAGAAGTCAGGACCGATGGAGAGAAGGGCAGGGAGCCTCATCACCGCCTGGAAATTGAACAATGCGAGGAGAAGGTGTTTAGTTTGGAAAGAAAAGGCAAAGAAAATACACGATAGCACTCTTCAGTTACCTGATGAGAAGCCAGAAAGAAAAAAACGGAGACCTCTTCCCTCTCAGGGTGCAGGAAATGGAATACGACCGAAAGTTGAAAGGTAAAAGTTTTTCCCAACAGAAAGAATAGCTCAACG